AGTCAAATTTTGGGGATTAAGACTGGCAGAAGACGTTCAATTTTAATGTTAATCTGGTTTTTAGAAGAAGATTCGCGAACAATCCATTACGGACGCTCCGCGTTCGCGCGCGGNTGAAATAGGAACCGCATACNGACCGTATCCGTTTGGGGGTGGGGGGCAATCGGATCGGATACGGAGCTCGCAAACGGACAGGATACGGATCAATCCGCATAATGTACTGATATTTACTGAAAACGGGTCGCGTGCGGCCCGTATACGGGTCCTATTTCAACCGCGCGCGAACGCTGAGCGTCCGTAACGGATTGTTCGCGAATCACCTGTGGCTACAGTTCTGAAGCAAGATGAGCAAATTGTTGGAGCGCAACAATGATACTAAGGCTTCCATTCGGTCGGGAAATTTAGCCGACCGACCGACCACCGACCCCGCCGACCAACAGCCGACCGAACTGACCGATCGGTCGGCGCGCCGACCGTTTTCGTGCATTTGCGCGTCAACGTGTTTGCATACGCTGCATTGTATTTTACGACAAACTACTCACTAAAAGCCTCGTTTGTCGTAAAATAAAGTGCTTCGTACGCAAAAATTCGTGTTTTTATGCGCAAAGGCACAAAATCGGTCAGCTCGGTCGGCTGTCGGTCGGCTGGGTCGGTGGTCGGTCGGCGGTCGCGATTTTCGACCGACCGAAATGGAAGCTTTAAATGATACAGCACGGAATCAGCATCTGTATACCGTACACCCTCGCTCAGTTGTAGAGGAGTTCGCGCCCGCAGCAGTTGCACAGCATCTGTGCGTTCTCCTACAGGTATGCAGCAGCTCTGCATCATCTTAACAGCACAACGACACTCCGAATCCCATACTGCGTTCGGTTTAGCAGAATTTTATTTTTGATTTTCGAAATTATTTTCGGTCCTATTTCGATTCGTTTTGATGTTTTTGATAGCGTTCTCGTTTGTTAGTAAGTTATGTTATGATTCAGAGCTTTGAGCAAATGCGCCGAATTCGCCGTGCGACAACCCTTTCGACTTGGAGTTTTTAGTCTCCTACATCTTTTGAAATAGCTAAATTTCAGATTTCGTTCCATCTATGAGAACTACGACACACGCCCGTCAACGAAATTTACCAAATTTTTGAATTGTGCTCGACAGGACTCCTCAAAATATATTAATTTCTAATGTTTTGTTTTTTTTAAATGTAAATAGTTGTTGTATCAATAAATATTGTGATATTAAATTGTACCAAAGCCGTTTTTTATCTGATAAAAATAGTAAAAAGCGAGGATCCAATTTCTGAATTCACTAATTTTCGAAGTTTTTGGGAATTTCCTGGAATTATTTGAATTTTGGATTTCTGGAATTTTCAAATTTCTCGGAAATCATGATTTAAAAAAATAAATAAACATCACTCACCGGTTCATAATGATGACGGAATGTGTTCCGAACTTTCATGACTTTCAGATATTTTCAGGAAAAAAATGTGAATTTCGCGCCAAGAAAAGTAATTAGAAATAGGTCAGAATAAAAGCCAATCAATTCAAATGAGCCGAATTTCAGAAGTTTGGCGCCAAAAAATAAAAAAAGAATGACAGAAATGGATATACTGCTTGTTGGGGAAGGGACGGCTTAACGAAGCTAAAAATGGGGACAGAACCTGTAGAATTAATCCGATTTTGAAGCGAGGTGATGGATAAGCGTTAGAGTTTATGGTTTTCTATAGAGAGGATTTTTTAAAGGGACATGAAGTTTTTTTTGGATTTATGAATATTGTAACTTTTAGTTTTGTATGGGATGACATAAAAAGAATTGGCTTTGAAATTGAAAGTTGCTGGAATTTTGAATTTTTGGATTTTTGGAATTATCAAAATTTTGAGGATTTTTGAGTTTTTGGATATCGGAATCTTCTGGGCAAGTGAGCTAGTTCATATCAAAAATTATTAACGACTTACCTTCATATTATTGCTTTTTGATGCTCCAGATTTTTCAAAAAACTTTCCAAATTGAAAGAAAAAATCTAAAAAATTTTGAATTTCTCGAAATTTATTTTCGACTTTCCTTGAGCCAATTTTTGTTGAGATGAATGGCAAACAATAGGGAAAAGAAGGGGATGATGGGTGTCAATAAAAGTTGAAAGGTAAAACTAAACAAAGCGAAAAAAATATGAACGGAAATAGTTGAACT